ATGCAGCTATAAAAAAGGATGAGTTCATGTCTTTGCAGGGACATGGATGAAGCTGGAAACCATCATTCTCAGCAAACTGACACAAGAACAGAAAACCAAACACCGCATGTTCTCACTCGTAAGTGGGTGTTGAACAAAGATAACACATGGAACCAGGGAGGGGAACATCACCCACTAGGGCCTGTTAGGCGTTGGGGGGCTAGGGGCGGGATAGCAGGGGGTGGGGGGATTGGCGAGGGATAACATTAGGAGAAATACCTAATGTAGGTCACAGGGGATGGATGCAGCAAACCACCAGGGCATGTGTATACATGTGTGACAATCCTGCATGATCTGTACATGTACCCCAGAACTTAAAGTATAATTAAAAAAAATTAAAAATTAAAACAATTTTAAAAAGAAAAGCTTAATACAGAAGTATAAAAAGGTATAGAACAGCTCAAAGAAAAAATTTAAAGTCACTTGTAATCCAGTTATAAATACACCTATATTTTGGCTTATTTCCTTTCAACCACTTTTTTTTTTTGCACATATAACTTAAAACATATACCCAGAAATAAATATTTTACCAGTTGGTTCATTTATTTTGAAGAAAGATGCTTTATTCATATTATGTTTAACTGCGTAGACTCCCATTTAATTTGATATTACTTAATTACTGTGAATGTTTTCCATGTCTTCACAAACAACTTTTTGAGGCTGGTTGTGGTGGCTTATGTCTGTAATCCCACGGAGGGGTGACTGAGGTGGGTAAATCATTGAGTCTAGGAGTTTGAGACCAGCCTGGCTAACAGTGTGAAATCCTGTCTGTACAAAAAATCCAAAAAAATTAGCTGGGCATAGTGGGACATGCCTGTGGTCCCAGCTGCTTAGGAAGCTTGAGCTCAGGAGGTCAGGGCTGCAGTAAACCTTGATTGTGCCACTGCACTTCAGCACGGGTGACAGAGCAAGATCCCGCAAAAGAAAGAAAGAAAGAGAGAGCGAGAGAGAGAAAAGAAAAGAAAGAAAGAAAGAAAGAAAGAAAGGAAAGAAAGAGGAAAGCAAGAAAGAAATTGGAATTCATAGCTCAGTTTTAAAATCGGCTTCTAAATAATAATACCTTATGTTAATAGTAATATGCCTCATTCACTTACACTGGTGTACACGTGGAAAATAACTGGGAATGGCATTGCTCAAATAAGCACTGCGGAGGTTATAAAATATTAGGTATCATCACTGAAGCATGGGTGATGCCTTTTTCAAATTTAACTGGTGAAAATGAACTATTGGCCAAATTTATGTTTTCAAATGGTAGGATAAATATGTATGTGTGTGGCCGGGCAAGGTGGCTCAAGCCTGTAATCCCAGCACTTTGGGAGGCC